AATTGCAAAGCTAATATCCGGCCTCGTACATGTTTGAGCATACATCAAACTCCCAACAACGGATGCATAAGGGATATTTTCCATCTGTTTCCATTCCAAGTCATTCTTTGGACATTTCATGAGACTAAACTTGTCTCCTTTCCGTATTGGAACTGGAGATGCTCGAACACTTCTCCATTCCGAATCTCTCTAAAACTTTATTAATATAAGCTTTCCGAGACAAACCTAACAGATCATTGTGATCTATCACTGAATATTTCTATTCCTATCACATAGTATGTCTCACTCATATCTTTTATTTCAAAGTTGTTAGAGAGAAAATTCTTAGTCTCAATTAATAGACCAAGATCATTAGTCACAAGCAAGATATCATCAACATACGGAATCGAAATATAAACTTACTCCCACTAACCTTCAGATATATGCATCGATCAACAAGTGTTTTCCTTAAATCTAAAGGACAAAATAGTATCATTGAACTTAAGATACCATTGTCGAGAAGCTTGTTTAAGTCCATATATTGATTTCTTAAGTTTACACACCATATGTTCCTTTCCTTCTTCAATAAACCCCACTGGTTGATTCATATAAACATCCTCCTCTAAATTTCCATTCAGAAAAGCAGTTTTAACATCCATTTGATGCAACTCAAGATCATAATGAGCTACTAATGCCATGATAATTCTAAAGGAATCTTTCTTAGAAACAGGTGTAAATGTTTCCTTATAATCAATGCCGTCTTTCTGAGTAAAACCTTTGGCAACAAGTCGGGCCTTGTAACGTTCGATATTGCCATGAGAGTCACGCTTAGTCTTAAAGACCCATTTACACCCAACACTCTTACATCCTTCTGGCAATTCCACAAGATCCCATACACCATTATATGTCATTGATTTAAGCTCATCTTTCATAGCATCTAACCATTTATCAGAATTATCACCATTAATGGCATCTGAAAATGAAACTGGTTCATTATTAATACTTAGGTCATTTTCTGACTCTTGTAGATAAACCACATAATCATTCGAAATAGCAGACTTTCTTTCTCTGTGAGATCTTCTTAATACTATTTCCTATGGTTGTTCTATTATCGGATCATTGTTAATCGCAGGATCATTAATTTGTTGTTCTTCTTGATTGTCGTGTGATTCTACAACATTTGGAACAACAACTCTTGAAGATGTACTAGTTATTGGAACTTGTACTCTAACTTCCTTAATCTCCACATTTCGTGAAACTTCACTCCCACTGGTTTCACCATTTTCAATGAACCGAGCATTTCCAGTTTCAACAATTCTTGTACTATGAGTAGGATAGTAAAACATATACCCCTTTGATTTTTCCGGATAACCAATGAAATATCCACCGATTATTCTTGCATCCAGCTTTCTTTTCTTGCGGATTATAAATTCTTACTTCGTCCGACTACCCCAAACAAGCGGGTGTCTCAAACTAGGTTTCCTACTTTTCCATAACTCAAAAATCTTTTGAACAACTTTACTAGGAACCCTGTTCAACAAATACATGATAGTCTTTAAAGCATACATCCACAATGATACAGGTAAACATGAATTACTTAACATACTCCTAACCATATCAAATCATAGAAGTACGCTTAAACAAACTGAAACAACCATTCCCAAACTTAAAAGAGTATCCAACAACATCAAGCTTAGACAAATAAACTAAATTTTTAATGATACTAGCTACATAAAAAGTATTCATAAGGTCTAAGTGATATCTAGTGTCAAGGATTAAACGATAAGTCCCGACAGCCTTCCACTAGAACCTTGACTTTATTCCCCATGAAGACGAACTTCTCATTTGGGTTTATGGTTCGGGTTGAAAGGAATCCTTGCATTACATTAGAAACATGAGTCGTACATCCGGAATTAATCCACCAAGTATTATGGGGAACTTCGAGTTAAATTTGATTCAAAACATACATAAGCACTCGTGCTCACCTTTCTTTTCGAACCAAGCTTTACGCTTTAGGCAGATCCTTCCGAAAATGTCCAGACTTCCCGTGAAATGACATTTGTCATTTTTCTTCCGAATGTTAGTAGAGGACTCGTTAATCTTTAATGGTCCTTTACCATTTCCATGTTTCTTAACAACTTTCTTTTTAGCTCCTTGATTTTTTTTCACGTAATGAATAGAGTGACTTCCTAGGTTCTTGAGTCCGGTCTCCTCCCGAACTAACATACTGTGCAATTCATGCACATTCCATTTGTCTTTCATGGTGTTATAATTCATCCGAAACGGACCATACTCGAGCGGTAACGAATTCAAAATGAACTGCACAAGAAATGTTTCTTCCACTTGCCATTCAAAGAGACTTGAGTCTTGCTCGCGATATTTGTCATTTCGATTACGTGTTCATGCATACTACGAGAACCATCAAACTTCATGGTGGTCAACGTACTAATCAATGTCCCAACGAGGGATTTGTCGGCAGTTTGAGAGCGCTCTTCCACAAATTTCATAAACTCTTTCGCATCCTCGGCTTTGGGAAGAGCACACTTAATATTGCTTGCTACACTCATTCGCATAAACATAAGGCTAAGTCTGTTTGATCTTTCCCAAGCTCTATAATGAGTTTTCTTTTCATTACTACCGACATCGGTGATAGCAACCGGTTTTTCAACTTGGAAAGCCAAATTAAAATCCAACTCACCTAAGTGAAATTGGACTTTCTCACTCCAGATCGGGAATTTAATCTATTAAAGACTGGAACGGACGAAGTAAGCGAATGTAGAAATACATAAACAAATACTTCAATTAACACATGTCTAACATTAACGCTTTGAGTCATAAAAACTAAATATAAATACAGATTCAAACATAAATAACCATTCTATGCATACTAATGTTCTCCTTTGGGAGATCCACTAATACACAAACATAATTACGCTAATCAATTTATAACTTTAATGATAATTAAAATATGCATCAACTAGAATCACCTAACACCTTTGGGTATATAAATAAAACTAGTGACGCACACAAAATTATCTACTTTCATGTTCATTAATTATAATAACAACTAATCAACCTTTGGGTGATCCCGAAATGCCTTATAATAATGAACTTCAATTAACCCATAAATCATTATTCATAATTTTAGCTGCTCATATTATGGGTAATTGAAATAAAATCATTAATAATTTGAAATCAAAATAACCTTAAAATTGTGGCCACTTTGGTGACTAACAAAATTTATCATGCTTAATTTCAAATAAATAACATCTTTAATTGCTATTAAACATTCATAGCATTTTTTTTATTAATTTTAATAAATATGTATATTATTCACATAATAAAATATTATGTGTCATGAATAAAATTGAAACTCATAATTTCAATTTTCATCCTAAGATTGATTTTCAATCCAAGACCTTTATTTGCATTTCACGTAAAAGTGAAATTGTCATCCATTCAAAACTTTTATGAGTAATTTAAACACAGGGGAAACAATACAATTGAGTTTGCAAAACAAGATTCATTCATTTATCAATGTTTACATTATAGGTACATTAACAAAGCTTCACAAGTACATTAACAAAACATTATATTAACAACCTTAACAAAGCTTCACAAGACATTAACAAAACAAGTATATTAACAACCTTAACAAAGTTTCACAAGACATTAACAACCTTAACAAAGCTTTACAAGTACCTTAACAAATTTACAGCACCCATAACAAAGCTTTATAGTACCCATAACAAAGTTTTACAAGTACCCATAACAATATAGTACCTATAACAAAGTTTTACCGTACTCTACAAGTATGAGTATATTATACAACTCACTTTAACATAAAAATAACTCTTTAATTATCCTTCCCCCACATAAAAAAATATGTACGTACAAAATAATGTACAAATAATATGGGGACAAAATAATATAGGGGAAAATGGCTTTAGCAGTCACCAATCACCAATATGTATATACAAAATAATATTATAAATAATATAATATAATATATGAAACATATGTGTTTAACACGTGTTCTCTACGTGCAAAGTTTATCAACTTTACAGCTTTATCATTCTTCCATCATAATTATAACATCTCATCATAATTATAACATCTCATCATAATTATAACATACAATGAAACTAATTTCATACATGATTCATCCTAACCCTATCACGTCATTTGCTTTTCAATTAGAAAGGATTACAGGGTCATTCATGCATAGGGACTATAAAATTGGTTTCAATTTGAACTTGAAAACATAATTAGGGTTTATTCCTTTATTTAATTTTGAGAAAAATAAAATTGGGAATAAATTAGGGTTCATACTAATCTGATAGAGAAATTCCTAAATTCATAATTAGGGTTTATCTTAATTTGGGAAAAACATCATTTGAGAAATATTTTCATAAAAGGAAAATCATAAATCTAATAATCAGTGCTCGATACCACATGTAAAACATTATGTAGTTTTTCTAACGCTCTTAATTCATTATGGAAAACTACTCTACAGGATCTTTAGATTATTGATTTTCACAACATAACATACATGAATCATAATAAGAGAACTAACCTTGATCCATGAAAATCTATTCTTTAATCTTCTCGCTCTCCAATCTCCTTTTTCCCAATCTATCTCTTTGTCTTTCTTTTTCTTCTCACGCCGCTTTCTTGATGTTTTACCGTGAAAAACTTTATGACTGCAGATGTAACCCTTATTCCATTCAATTAACCAACGTCCATCAAGTTGGTTACCGTAAGTTAATATTTTATTTTATCTTTATTTTATTCTAACTTCACATAATAACCAATAGGTCCTCATATTTTATTAAATCACATTTGGGCCCATTATTATATTTCACATGAGTCACATAATGGAATGAATTAATTAAATTAATTCTAACACATTCCACTTGCCACTTTTCAATTCAAACACGAACCTCGCTGCCTCTGTTTATATAAACAACTTGCTAGCCTTAGGTCACGGTCTTCTGCTCACACCACCATCACCACCCCACATGGCTCTTCTTCACAAGCTCGCACCTTTTTCCTCTCTCAACTCACCCTTCACCAGAAACCCCCATTGTTCTGCGCCCCGCCGCCACCTCGTTTGCTTCTCCGCCTCACCCTTCACGGAGAAGCACTCCCTAGAGAGGTACCAGAGGGACCAATGGGTGTACGAGGGTAGCCAAACGATGTCGTTTCCTCCCCCCTGTGACTCCGGATCCGTGAGGGAGGACGACATAGCCCTGCAGCTTCCGGAGCTGAAGAAGCTGCTGGTGGTGCTGAGGGAGAAGAGGGAGAGTGAGGGAAAGTGCAGTGGAGAGGAGTGTTTGCCAGGGAATGTGTTCTTGGTGGGAACAGGGCCTGGGGACCCTGAGCTTCTCACTCTCAAGGCTGTGAGAGTGATTAAGAGTGCTGATTTGTTGCTGTATGACAGGTTGGTGTCCAATGATGTGTTGGATTTGGTTGCCCCTCAGGCTAAGCTTCTCTATGTGGGAAAAACTGCTGGATACCATAGTAGAACACAGGTAAAAATATTACCCTTTTTTTTTTGTAATTGGGTTGTTGCTAGGTTTTTGAATTGTGGATAAATGTGGTTTGCGGCCGCAATTGCCGTCATGGTTTTGTCACAATTATTGATATTGCAGAAAACCTTGATGTTGAGGACAAAATTACTGATAAATATGGTTGTTGTGGTCGTGATCTAGTCACAATTTTGTTTTAGTCTTCGATATTGTCGAAAATTACGATAAATGTGGTTTTTGTCGCTGCAATAGTGGTCAGGACTGTTCATTGTGACCTTGGATTGTGGGGTTTTCTTGTAATTTCTGATGGGTTGGTGCTGGAGTCAAAAAATTGTGTTTGTGTCAATATCTGAATCTCCTTTGGAGGTGTGATTTTGGTTTTGAAGTTGTAGAGAAATTTTGAGGCATAGATGATGATAAAATGCATTTTTTCATGGTTGATTTGTGGCAGGAAGAAATACATGAGCTTCTTTTGAGTTTTGCAGAAGCTGGGGCGACTGTTGTGAGACTCAAAGGGGGTGATCCATTGGTAAGTTTTTGTTTGGGATTGTGTTAGTTGATTGTATTAGTGAAGCAATTTCAATTTGTCACGGCCTGTGTGATGAACAGATATTGATGTCAATGATTGTTGTTGGGTATTTGTAGGTATTTGGGAGGGGTGGGGAGGAAATGGACTTTTTGCAACAGCAAGGTATCCAAGTGAAAGTTATTCCAGGTATGACTCAATGTAATGATTCAATTGGTTAGCAATGCTCCATTATTGTGTGTGTGTGTGTGCGTGTATAAAGGATTTTCACAGATAGAATCAGCATATGGCTAGTTCTAGAACTTCACACTCTCTCGATCAATCAGTCACAGGCATATGCATATCTTAGACTTAATAAAACAGTTTTCTTACCTGTATTTTCAGTTTGTATAATCATATTTTTCTGGGACATTAGTTGCAAGTCATTGATTAGTCCAACTTATGTTGGCATGGAAATATGATTGATCCTAGGACCTAAACACCACATACCGCATTGCCTTTTGAGAGGGCTAAAGAAAAGTGTTTTTTACTTTTTCATTTTTTTCTACTTTGTGAACTATATAGAAGATGATGCATATTGCAAAGGGTATTAGCTCATATAGATTTAAATGGACTGGATCCTGTGGAAAGAAAGTTTATACAAAAGTGATTGCCAGTGGGAAAGACTATGGAATGAAAGTATAAAATATGACTTCAATTGTCCCCACGTTGCCTTTTCTTTTTCATTTTAATTTATTATTTTATTCAGCATGTGAAAGACATCAGTGGATTTATGAATTATCTAATGGTTTTTATAAGAAAAGTCCGAATTGTTGTGTTTATTGTAATTTATTGTATCATTTCTTGCAGGTATAACTGCTGCATCTGGAATAGCAGCGGAGTTGGGAATACCATTGACTCACCGAGGCATTGCAAATAGTGTGAGATTTCTCACAGGGCATTCAAGGAAAGGAGGATCTGATCCTCTCTTTGTATCTGAAAATGCTGCTGATTGTGATTCTACCTTGGTGGTTTATATGGGCTTGTCGACCTTCCCTTCACTTGCACAGAAGTTAATGCTTCATGGTCTGTCCCCTCAGACCCCAGCTGCAGCCATTGAGCGAGGGACCACACTTCAGCAGCGCACAGTAAGCACGATCTTATCTTCCTTCCAACATAGTTGTTCCCATCACATTGATTGAGTTTCTGATTAGTAGTCTCTTTCCTGTGATCACATTTATTTCCAGTGATCATTGTTTTGTTAAATTAACAAGATTTTGGTTTATTATGAAATGATCATTTTTATTTTGACTGGTAAAGTCACGCTTTTACTTTTGAAAAAAGAATGAAGGGGGACTTGTGAACCTGTGAGTTGAACTATATGCAAACAGCTATCATTGTAAAAGTTGTTCCAGTTTTCTTATACTAGTAGAAATCCATTCAACTGCGTTTGTATGTAGGCAAAACATTCATTTTCTCTTCATGGCAGGTCTTCACTCCGAAGACACCCCCTCATCTCTTCACTCCTACACAAAGCTGTTATGATGCTTGACTTTGTATGAAAGTGAATCATTTTTTTGATAAAACACTGGTTCCAAAGATTTATGCTATTCGCAGTCAACATTCATGACACCTCTTTTGGCATGTGTTGTTGTCAGGGTTCTGATCCTCCTTTATCTTATAAACATGAAATGTAAATTTTGGAGAGAAAAAAACATAGAACAGCATGGGACCACCATATCTCATGCCCACACGTTCAGTACCGGATTTGGTGGTATCTTTCTCATTTTGAAAATTACATATATGTTCCTAACGAAAAAGATCATCCAAACCCTTATTGTTGATGCCTTTGTTTTTAATCTTAAGAATATAGTTGGTGTAAAAGATAGAAGCTTGAATATGTGGTGTGTGAAGGAAGTATATGATATGTATCTACCAGTACAGTGATAGACAAACCCCTTTAATTAGTCACGTTAATTAGTAGAATAATTAAAGTTAATTGAGAGCTGGAATAATTGGAGAAATAAGAAATGTTATAAATAGGAAGAGGTGTTGGGATGATTGGCTAGTCAGTTTTGGAGTGGCTAGGGAGAGTCTTGGATCTCTCGAATATCCAGAGAATTTGTGCATTCTTTCTGTTCATCAACAGTAGTATGTTCTTTGTGTGCTCAACCTGAACCAGCTTCTTTCATGCACTCAAGACTTCATGAATTTTTTTATTAATGGTAGCAGTGAGCTGTGAGACAGATTACTTTACTTTGTACTTGTAAATGATTATTAACATGAAATTGATCAATTAATATAATTATTAATAAAATAACATATGCATAGCCAGTTTTGCTTACAATATTTCAAGATACTGGATCCAAAAGCTGATTTATACGTTTCATTCACAATCATGCAGGTGTTTGCTGAACTAAAGGACCTTTCTGAGAAAATAACTTCTGCTCAGCTGGTGTCACCAACACTAATTATAATAGGAAAAGTTGTTGAACTATCCCCATTTTGGCCAATTTCTACAAAAGAAGAATCATGTTTAATGCAGGCATGATGGATGATGTTGTAGAGAAATATTATTGTGATGTGAAGCTTGGTGGAAATGAAGGTTACCTTGGTGAAGGTTGATTTAGCATGAGCTTGCACAGAACAAGGGGTGACAATAATCGAAATTCGGATCTATCCAGGACTGGCGGGAAAGGTAAGCAAGCTATCTGATGTTTATGGAAATGCAGAACTTATGCCCTGGTTTTGGGGTATGAATTGGAGTTGTTGGCTTTGGCAGGAACTGTTTCAGAACCAATTTTGATTTTCCATGTTCCAGATTGGGAATAAAACTAAGGAATACACAGATACACTCTCATTTTTTTAGAAAAAAACACAGGTTTTGGTAGCTGCAGTTACTTTGATCAGTTAACTTGGTCATTGGAGGAAGATGTGTTATAACCATAAAGCTATTTAGAATCTTTCTTTCAAGAAGAAACATGGAGATGAATGTCAAGGCTGTGATTTTATTTGTTAAATTCATCAATGTTGCTATTATTCAGAGCCATTAATCCATTTTTCATTCATTGTTCTTGTCACTTGATGTTAAAGATACCGACTTGAAGTAAACTTGATGGTTGTTATCAGAATTCAGTTTTGGTTTGCACCTGGTCTGATATCGTATTATAAAATACCAGCGTTTATGTAATGCTGAAATAAAAAACATAACCTGATGGTATTCTTGAGGTTTTGCTTTCCACTTCTTGAACAACCTTGTAAATTATTCATTGAATTATTTGCTGTGTGGGATTTGTAAATTAATTCAAGGACTTGACATCATTAACACAACCCTAATAAATGAAGAATATATTTCATTTTGACCTCTTGAATTTCTTTTTACCTTGATTTATAAAACTACTAATTTAAATTAGATGAATTTCTTTTTCATGATTATTTGTCCATTAATGTTGATTTAGTGAAGCTGTCACTATATTTTATAGTTTGTGTTTTAGGTTATAAAATACATAATTCTGTTAGTTCTTTTTTGTGATTTGTTTTCTTATCTTCTTTTAAGGACTTGATCATAGTTCTTCCTATTAATTATTTTGTTAAGGCATAATTATTCTCATTTTTTAAATTCTCCGTACAATGTGGGACTAGATTACAGTTTCTGAACTATAATTCCTTGCGATTTAGGATTAAAGAAGAATAACAAAGAGAATCTCTTGTTATGGTTCGAAAAATTGGTGTGGGTGAAGTGTATTATTTTAAAGGATAATGTTCTAAGTTATTATTATTATTATTATTATTATTATTATTATTATTATTATTAAGAAGATGAGAAAAAATGTCAAGCCATGCAAAGTTAGTTGGGTTGAAAAATATTTAAACCCAGGATGGTAGAACCAGACCCAACATCGATTGTGGTTGTACCATTTGAACCAAACAAATCAAAATTCATCTAAATAAAAAAAGAAAAAATTGTGTCAGATTGGTAATGTGTCTGGTTTCACATTTTAGATATAGAGAAATAAAAATTATTTAAAACAAGAAATAAATGCCTATTTATTCAAGTTTTTTTCACTTCAAGAAGTTTTTGCTTTTAAAAACTAATTACTTTTTCTTTTTTACACCTTTACAAAATCATCAGGACAAGAATTGGAAATCTAATTATTATAAGAAACTGTTCGAAAATGATAAATGAAGATAATACACATTATTCATTATAAATGATGTGTATTAACCAAACTTTTGTTTCATGTAATAGACAAAAAATGAATCATGCATGCATACATGTGTGGTTTAGGGGAATTTGATTCGCTGTAATTGCATTACCAGGACTGACAAAAACAATTGTTGAATTCAATTATTGTCTCCCTACTGCATAAACTTTTAGTCCTTTGGCCCCTTTTTCTGCTAGGAATTTTTCCATGATTGAGATTATTATTAGCTTCTTATAAAGGGTGCACACACCTGAATAATGCATGCATACCTGTTTTTCTTTTAATGATCCCATAAATTTCCAACAAAGCTTTAGATTTCTGGGCCATGTGGGGTCCCAATAACACCATGTCACACTCTCCTTTGATGCTCAATTCCACTGCAGGACATGCAGAAGGCTACACAACTTTGTTACAGTATTACTGATATCTTGTCTCGTGGGGACCATTTGGTGGTGATCAAGGAATCTTGGGCTTTTTGCTAGGACATTGTGCAATGGTACCAGGGTGGAGGACATACCCTTTTTATTGAGAGATGATATATCCTGAATCTGCTGGCACACTAGTCCACACAAAATTTTGAAAGATGAACCAGATAATTACGTGAAATCATACTATAACCTTACTAGAACATCAACTACCATTGCATGCAGATGTTGATTGGTGAATGCAGGTTTTCCGCAGAGAATCAAAGCAGTGAATAGTGTGCTCATATTCAAGATGAAGAGTAGCATGCGGATGCAGCAACAACTAAAAGGGGGTCAGTCAAAATAATTTTAGAAGGTACCATTATTACACTTGGCAGGTCCATATGCTTTCAAACTTTTCAGAGTCAGCTGATGCTGGTGGATAACAGTGACAAGAGGAAAACACCAAGTTAGAGTAGGTCCTGGTGTTGTTTGACTTGTTTAATAGCCAGCCAAGAACATTTGAAGCCATTCTCATAGCCTGGTTCATGGAAACATGCCTACGAACAATGTCTCAATGTTAGTCCACCAATAACATGATGTGTTTTTGTTCCGATTTGCACTCAGGCCAGAAGCATTGGATCATAGGATTTTGTAATAACATAATGCAATTTTTATATTGTTCAATAACTTTATATATGGTTTTTAAATAGTTTATCATAGACATTAATTAATAGTTATACTGTATATGAAGTTTGTGATTGGACATTAGTGTGAAAGAAAAGAGGGACCCAAAATTCAGAAAAAGAAAAATACATGAGTGGAAAGTGTAGAACATGATAGTATTGTAACATTGAGTTGTGTGATGTAATTTGATGATTTTGAAATAAGAGGTTAGACAATGTTTTAATTGTATGCTCAGTAATGGTCACTATACCGTGAAACAAACATCAAACCTCAGCCAGAATAATGCCAAAACAAACATATAATGCCAACCTTACAATAATGTTATCTTCTGCCAATTCAGTGGTCCTACGTAACTAACTTCTCTTGCTGATTTGCAGACTTGAATTGAACCTGCTTTAAACTTTGAAAAATAAACTTTTATGACATACTTTTGGTTCAAATTTGTTTATAAATTACCATTTTTCTTAATGAAACAAATAATACACTAAATTTTTATATCAATAATTCGAAAGGCCTTACTCAAAAAATGAATTCAATTTTTATGCAATGTGAGTGTAACATTTTGCATACCAATCCGATCACATATTCGGTATCTTCTGGTCCTTAAATTGTCTTACTTTCGTAGTGTTGAATTAAATGGTAATATGGGTTGCACAAGGTGATCTTTAATGAATGATCTTATATATACAAATATCAACAAGTCTTCATTTTGTAATTACACAGCTAAAGAGGCCATATATCCTATACAATCTTTGTATAAAAAATCAAAGAATGATCTTCTGTTGCGTATTATTTTGAATCTATCATTTGAATGACGATGGAAATGTACATTGCCACACAGGCCAACGTATTTAAGGAATAATGGTACACCTCTCTGAGGTGAAGAGTGCTTGAAATGATGTGTAGTAGAAAATGGGTGCTCAGAACTCTCATGGTTACCCTGAAATGAAAGGCACTTGAAGTGTTCCAAAGGTTCAAAATTCCAAATCCTGTTGAAAGTAGCACTCTCTTCCTTGTAAGTTGCCTAGTAGCCTTCATGCCAGACTTTGGTACTATTTTTAAATCAGGAAATAGAATGTGAGTCATTGCACATGCACTCAGGAATAGGATACTTGGTAACATCTCTTCCAGCTTTTATAGTCCTAAGTTCTGGCTGCCCCAATGAGTCCTGGTGCAACTCCTTCATGATTCTGTTGAACTCTTCTTCAGAGAGGGAAGAATTGTGAAAATAAGGTAGCATGTGTCTCTTGTTTGGAGTTATATATTTCTTGTGCCCTGCAAATGCCCTGTGACCCTGAAAATGAAACAATAATTTGAGTTTATGAAATTAGAAATGGTCACATTTTGATTTCTATTTTCTGTTTTCATTTCCTGTTTTCACACATAATTATTAACCTACCAACTTGTTTTTACTTTGCTTCCTATTTTCCTAGATTTGTACAAGAAAAGGTAAAAATAGTAAAATGTTGTGTTTACCATTTCCTATCTTTCAAAACAAGTGAAAATAACTTGACATTTGTGTCTCAGAAGAACCACTAAAAACATAACAAGCATACCTGAATTGCATGGCCCATATTTCCTCCATGAGATGGCATGAAAACATCACTCTTCTCAGAGACTATGTAATCTATGGCAGCCATTATGGAAGCCTTATTTGCAAATGGTCGTAGTTCTCCTGGCAAGGCAAGATCTTCCTTGCTATAAAAATGAGGAAACTCTTGGATCAATGGAAGCAAGGCTTCTTTTCCACCCAAAGGTTGCCCTCCAGCCCAATAAATTCTTGCATTGTTTGGAGCTCCTAGACCCTTCAATAGCCTATAAATTGAACCAGAAACATTTGTCAGCAAATCCTATTGCACTCAATTTTGGAAAAACAACCAATTAACAAAATTGTTATTGTATTCACCTGGTAACCTCCACAGCATTCAAAGGGCATAGACCAGCCATCTTCCTTTCATGGTAAGTCATGTTTGATCTTGCAGTCAATAGCTCCGGCCGTTGTATCCTCTCATTGTTAACAATCTCGTCGAATTCATCACTCAGACCAGGGAGGCATCCAGTCCTCACCCACACATCCTTCTCCATTCTTAGATGAAGAGCAAGGTAAGGCCCCTTGCTCTTCATTCTCTCTGCAATCCTGTCACCAAGTTCCTGAACCGGTTGAGCAAACCTTAGTGCATTGAAAGCAACCTGAAACGTAAGATGAGAACTAACTATCAATATCTGCAATCAGTTATAGAAGCGTATTTCTAAAGGGTGATTTTAGTTGGTTTCTTTTTCTTCTCTTTATTCCCCTTTACAATATACAAAGAAGGAAGATAATTTTAATAATAAAATACCTTGCATCTAAGCTTTTGAAGATCAGAAGGAAGATCCTTGGAAAGCCTTGAATCCAAACCACGTAAGAGCAAAACACCTTCTCTGTTGAACTGCACCAACAACCAAGACTGAAGTTAGAAAAGAGTCCTTTTCCAAACAACAACAACACTCACTAGTAATCAGAAAAGCTTTCCTTAACAATCCAAATGTAAATGTAACATATTGGTAGGGACTACGGAGGCCTCCAATTACTTTCCTACAACATTGCTACTCTTATTATAGTGTCATGCATAATATGACCCTCCTATGAACTATTATATTAACGGACCAACACTTCAGGAGGCCTCAAAATTTGGAGAAGCTAACTCCAGTAAGAATTACGGAAAATGCAATGAACAGAGCACACGAAAAAAACAGAAGAGGATGAGAGAACATCTCCTACTTGGTTTTTGGTTTTGGGTCTTTAAAACACTTTGTATGGAAATAATTTTCAAAAATTTATAGATTTTGGATAAGAAATTGATTCTTGAGTAGTATACAATTGTTTTAGAAAACAGTTTTTAGAACTAAAAGGGAGAAGGGAATCAAACAGGCCATTACTCTTCTGAGATATCTTGAACGGATCCAACTAGGAGTGACATGAAGGGGAGGACTTCCCTCCACTGGCTTTGTCATTAGGTGCGTTGATGGCAGTGCCGAAACCACTCGCACATCATTGGCAAGAACTCTCTTGAAGTGTTCCAAGTCAAATATATCACCAAACTCACTGCAATCAAAGCAAGCCAATGGAAAATATCTCAGATGAGGAAAAACATCAAAGTCTAAGCAGACTCTCTTCAAACAAACACAAACAAGGAAAGAAAAATAATTATCACTAATTAATCAAATGGATCAGTATAGAAAAGATTAAACATAACTAAATATCTTGTTCAATATTTAAAATTTTGAATTCATCAATAAGCAAATACCATCTGGCTGTGGACAAGAATAAAACGTACCTTTCATCACCCCAAATGACATTCACTTGCAATATAGGAACAACCAAAGCAGCCCCAAGAATCCTAGCAATGACAACTGCATCAACAATTTGATTCCTTTGCTGATTCAAGCCCCCAGAAACCACCACCATGAGGTACTTTCTCCTATCCTTTAGAACCCCATCACTTGCTCTTCTGTAATCCCTGCTGAAACTCAAGCAAGGTTTGTATCCCAACCCATCTGGCTGCTTCCAGAACTCACTCTTCTCATCATCTCCATCACCTTCCACCTTGTCCAATCCCTGTGCTCTCAGCTCCACATGGGAAAGCAAAGCTTGTGCTAACAAATCCTTATATTTTATGTTTTTGTCTCTCACAACACCAAGGTCTGACTTTGAAAGTGGGGCTGAGATCATGTTCTGAGGCAGGGTGGTAACACATGGGTGGGGAGAAAATGGGATGTTAAGGGTGAGGCCAAACTTGAGCATGCCAAGGAAACCAAAGAAAAAGAGAGTGAAAAACCATAGTCTTGGCCTCCTGAAGATGCTGTTGGTGAAGAAGAAAAAGAGCCTGCTGGTGCTCCTTGAAGACTTCTTGGGAGAGTCAAGAAGTGATTGCAGAGAAGAAGATGATATGGAATTGATGATCTGAGAAGGAACTGATATGTAGGACAACTTCTTGGCATTGTTCTTTGACTTAGCCATTGAAAAGAAAAGAGCTTCACAATGAGAATGAGAAAGAGAAAGAGAAAGAGAAAGAGAGAGAAAGTTTCTGTTTTTCCTTTAATGCTTTTGTTCTGAACTTCTCTTCCTTCAGAAGAAGAAGAACATAATGGTAGATAATGAGTTTGGTTTGTTTTTAAAGAGCCTCAATCAAGTTTTCATTCAAAAGTCCTCACTTTCTACAGAGAGAGAGAGAGAGAGATGAAGAGAGAGAAGAGGGTCGGCGGGAACACGAAGTTAGATCAAAGTTTCAACGCCTAATCAAAGGAATGGAAACAGAGGTTTGACGATTTGGACAAGTTTAGTTCAGTTATAGTGGACATGGTTTTTAAAGTGGAATTTTTGGTTTAAGGTGTTGGCATTTGGCATTCATTATAAAGACATTATCCTCCTCAAATCTCAACTTTTGATGGATTTGGGGAGTATGTGGCATGTTATTTACAAAATGACCTTCGAGCCCACCTTACATTATTGAATTCATGTTTGCTTTTTTCATCTATATTTGTTGAATTAGGTCGTAGCAGGGTTGAAAGATCAAGTGTAAAAAAAATGGTGAAAATGCAATTTATTAATTTTGTAGATTGAATTAAGTTGTCACAGTTTAGTTTCATGAATTCAAACTTTTAATATAATAGTGATTTTGATTTTGTGATGAGACAACTTCACCAAGTTACTCTCTTACTCTTTAATGTAAATCCTCCATTAATGCTTTTATTCTCAGTAAAATCATGAGTTTCTTTGATTGATATAAATGAACTCTAGCTAATTTTCTCTATACTAGTTAGTTAAAACTTCATGATTTTTTTTATCTCCTTTATTATATATGATAAACGGAAAAAGAATATTAAAAGAGCATTATTCTCCTTAATAAATTTAGTGAACTTTTAGGTTCATTAAAGTTTAATAAAAAAAAAGATCATAAGTTATATTTGAAAAAAGTTAGTGAAAGATAACATTCATCCATGATACTTAAATGCTCTGTATTAATGAGTCACATAATTTGATGGGTCTTTGTATATGTTATTCAATTTTTCAATTTTTAATCTCTAATTGAAACCTAATTAAAAGAAGGGCAGTGAAATAATAAGAGAGACACATATATCTCATCTTCCTAATTAATTCTAGAAGATAAAAATGTGTTATTTGTTTACTACTAATCCCAACTTGTGCGTCCAGAGCAATGCGGTGTCGTTTTATGATGAATCCAGCTGCCATGACAACAAAGCATGAATAAACTCTAAACGAGTCCCAGGAAGAAACCAAAACCATTTTGTCACATGTCACTATGCTTCCATTTCACTCCACTTTCTTATTTCATATTTACCTTTATCAATTATTCTTTTATTGTAATAAAATATACAAAACTAATATTATTAAAATTATTAATTTTTGTTACTACTCAAACATGTTTTAATGGTAGGTATAGGCTTTCTGTTTTTCTTGCCAGCTCGATTATGCATCAGCACATCCTCATTTTGGATAAGAGAAAAATAAAATTAATCATTGAATAAATAATATAATGTTATTTATTTTTATATATTATCTATCTTATTTTATACTCTTTTTTCTGTCTTCTTTGTTTGTACAAGTTACTCAATAATGTTTTTGTGTAATAAAAATTATCTTTATTATTAGTTAATCATTTCAAAACTAATTCGATTTTAATTCAAAAATAATTAAAAGAAGGCAAATAATAACCATTGTTCTTTAATCACACGCTAAAAAAATTGAAATAAAAAATTTCGATTTTTTCAAGTGAACATCGTAAGCATCCATCTTAAATATTTGTCATGTCAGTAGTAGTCACATTACTGAAAACATGATTAGTCTTTTGGTCCCATGCTTCAAAGAATGCAAATTAATAAATTATATCCCGATGCATCACATGTTTGAAGAGAAGAAAAGATAAATTTTTTAAAAATAATTAAATTAACTGTAATAATTTATATTTTTTAATTAAATATTTTTAATTTTAATTTTAACTTTTTTTTATTCAGTAAAAAAAAATAGCGTAAGAGAGTGTGAATTTGTGAGGGTTGTAAGAAGATGCCAGCTGGAGTCTGATAAAAGCTTGCTGGCAAAAGACTGCCACGTGGGGGATAGCGACACGTCATCATTCCACATGGGATTTGGGCCTTGTTTCTGTGGGGTCCATGTTCTTTTTGCTTACTCCGAGGTACATAGGACCAAAGCTTAGGAAACTACACACAAAAAACAACACAATTCCTAAAACTACACCCCATCCAAACAATTTCATTTTAAAAGTAAATAAGATTTATAGAAAAATAAATAAAATTTAAAGTAACATATTTATAAAGTAAATAAGTACACTACTCAAAATTTTTATTTTTGATGAGAATATTTTTACAAAATTTTGGTAAAAATTGTAAGAAATAAATTTTTTATAAATATAAACAATTTTTTACAAGAAAATTGACACAAAAAAAAATTCTAATAGTGGTACTACCACTATCACAAACTAATTTTTCACAAACAATTACACAAAAAATATAATTAATTAAAAATTTTAAGATAAAATTAACCTACATATAAAATAATTTATAAAAATTATTCATGTAATTTTTTTTACTTTATAAGTTAACTTAAATTTATAAATAATTCAATTTCTTTTTTTTTCTATTTCTTTTTCTATAAGTCTTTAGAAAAAATTTGTTCAGATAGACCTTTAAAACAAATTTCTTTGTAAAACATTTTAGAAGAAAAATATATTTAAAAAAAAACTAATTTATGTAAAATTTAAAATATAAAAAATCATATGAAAACATTTTTACAAATTAACAATAATTTTAAGTTGAAAAAAAATATTAATTTCATTTTTAAAATTCCTTTTACAAAAACATACCCTAAATATTAGTGATTTAAAAACGCAACATCATCAAACTGCAACTAAAATCCCATGGAATGAATATTAATAAAATTAGATTTAATTGCGCATTTTATCATCTAATTATTATTATCATTTTGAGTTTGTTTTTCAAGTGTTTTTCGACAAAGTTTAAAAAAATTTATTGTATCAAACTTTTAATGCTAAAATGCTTTTTTTTTTTTAAATATTGCTTATATAAACAATTTAAAGATCTATATTTGGCTTTATAAATAATTTTTAAAAAGAGGTTGCGTGTTCATAACTCTACAATACATGATTCTTCTATTCTCTTTATAACGATTATGTGTCCATTTGGTTTACCAACAAAATCAATTTCATGCTTACACATTCCAATATAAAATATGTGGTGAGGATTAATTTATACATGCATCTCAATCACTTTAAGAGTTTTAAAACCAATTCTACTAAAATTTAAAACAAACATCACTCTTTTTCATGTCATACTATTATACCTTTGGTGCAAAATATGCTACTAAGATTAATATAGATTCATATTTTAATCACATTCAATCTTTCAAATCAATTTTACTAAATTTAAAACAATTAAACATTATGTTTCATGCTTAATTTCAAAATTCCCAAGTTGGGATTTTAGATTCATACGAATTTATGTTTAATAAGTATTAGGTATAATCTTGAATTAAAAACTTGGCACTAATTAATTATGTATAGAATGTTGAGCTAATTAATATTAAGATAATTAGTAAGAAAAAAATATCAATCCGTTGGGATTTTAGATTTAAAATATGTATTTTTTTTATATGAAAAATATATGATATAACGATTTTTTTTTATTTCATTATATTTTATTAATGTACTTTATTTATTTATTTATATATATATATTATAATTATAATAAATATTAAATAATAATAATATTGTAATGTTAATTATCTAAAATTAAAATAATAATAATAATAAAATTTTAATGGTTAATTTAAATAAAATATATTTTACACTTTAGAACTTGAGATAAAAAAGAAAAAGAAAAGGTTAACATGGAGGTAGATGTTACTTAAGAGAGAAGTGAAGAAGTAGAAGATGATGATTTAATAGTGGGGATGTGAGAATGATGAGTGGATGATTATGAAGTGAAGTGAAGTGAAGAAGAGAGATGAAGAGCCAATAAAACAAGGGCACACTCAATTCCAATCTTTGTTACTTAGTGGCTTCTCAGAAGTGGAAAGATCATAATGGCATTGATAAAGACCCTTGTGTTTTTTCTCCCTTCATTTCATTCTTTTTATTATAAATGTCTCATTCAACCCACACTCACACACCCCAGTAGAAAGTTTGGGCATTCTCACTTTGGTGTGGCCTTTGGATTCACAAAATCACCAATTTTATGCTCTTCTTTTCAAGTCAAAATATTCATCAATTCTGGATAAGAGTTTCCCAAGATCAGGGGCATCCACCCTCCCCATTTAATAAGTATTTTTTATTTATAAATTACACTATTTTCTTATTTTTATTCAATATTAATCTTAAATAAATATTCTAACAGCTATTTATGCTTTCATCTTAAACTACATTATAACTTAGATCGATATGAGTTATATTAACTTCATTATAAATTTCATATGAGTTTTCTTTCTTTCTTTAATTAATTACTAATACTTTGTTATCTAAAACTAATTTTCAAGTTTCTTCTATGATGATGATGAAAAATATTTAAAGTAAATTCCAAAACCTAAAGTGCCTGTATATCCTATTAGTAGGTGAGTGGTATATTATCGTATCTTGGATCATACCCACATACCAAACCCTAATTTAGTATTTTAATCCACAATCAAATTTCGAATAACTTTTGACTTCGTTTCGTGTTTCTAAACATTACGCAAGCATTTGTCACTGTTTCTATTTTTTTATTTAAGATACACGTGACCATGCGTGATGAAATGAATAAGGTTATTTTTGGAATTACATAAAAATTAAATAATTGGATTAATAATGTTTTAATAATATCATTCCATTTTCATATTTGTTTATGAAATATAAATTCAATCCACACAAAACATATAGATCGACCTTTATATATATATATATATATATATATATATATATATATATATATATATATATATATAAACTCATTAAACTTATAACCATCATCAATACAGGGTTAAAAAAATCTTTAGTTTTCTATTATGTTAACTTCTTTGACACGTTCAAAATAATTTTCTTTCATGACGTTTGTAATTTTTCTAAGTCATCAAATCATTTATACGATTTAGAAATGACAAAATGTGACAAGAATTGATTGTCACTGCTTAACTACACAAATTGTACAAAATTTGAACCCAAGAACATATCATATTAGTGATTTAATTAATTATATTTGATTATTGGGTGGTTGTGTATCATTTCTAACTACTTAACTTTAACAACTCCATGATATTGTCATTTTTAGACGAAAGTGGGTGTATTATTAGTTGTCTATATGTTCACAACTTTATACATTTGGTTCATGCTTCTAACTACCAAAGCAACGAATACGTTTATTTAATATATATTCTAACTAAGAAGTACTTATTTTAACTTAGTTATTTTTTGGTAATAAGATCCAATGCGAGCAAATAAAGTGTTTTCTTTTGCTTATATACGAAGAAACTAAATAGTGCACCTAACTTCAGGAATGTGCTATAAAGTAGAAACTTACATAATAAAAATCAAATGGTAGCTAGAGAAGATAATCGTTTAGTTTATGATCATTATTATTATTATGGTTATCTTCATTTTGAAGATGGAAGATAGCTTGATTAGGTGATTTATGTTTTTTTTTTTTATTTGGGGAAACTTGCACAATAATTGAAGCAAAAAATGGGTTGAACATACGAAGAGGTAGTTAATTTGTCAAAATCATAGGAGTAGCTCATTTGGGAACTATGATGGATAGAATGAGTGTTTTTAAAAAATGGCAATAATGGGGGTAGTGAAGTATGATCGAAGAAAATAATGTGTGTCAACGAACACCAATCCCCGAAGATGTAACAAAGTTGAATCGAAGCCTCTAAAACCAAGAATAGCAAAAGGAAAAAAATTGAAGTGTTTTGCACTTTCTCACATGGTTAGCAAATTCATTATAATAAGTGGGAGGGTTAGTTTTCCATAGAGATCCATGCGATCTTGTTCCAGCCATGTGAAGGGATTAGTCCCTTCTGCTCTTTCATCAGAAATATTAATAATCAATCTTGCAAAGGTTTGTACCTTTTGAGATTCCCTTGGAGTTAGGTTAAATTAAATAATGTTCATTTGGGTAGGGATAGAATCATGGGAATCCGAGGCACTCTCACTCAACATTAATGTGTGGTTGATAAGTTGGTGTTGGTGATGGTGGTGAATAATGTAATAGGGTATATTTGATGATCAACAAGTTACACTTATCCAAAACCCATGTGTGATTGTGTGGCCAAGTTGGAGGACAATGAATGAATTGCAAGCTCTTGATCGTACATTTGAAGTTGTGTTCATCAATTAATCATGGAACAACAATGTGGGTCACTAGTTAAGAACTTTTTCTATACATGTAAGCCCCTAACTCATGTGAGTTATGTGAACACTGATGACTCTTTAGAAAGTAATTGAGTGGCCCTTGTTGCTTTTTTATGAGAAGAAACATTTGAGGGCATGAAAATGGTGATTAGGGGAATGAGGTTGGCAGAGAGCATAAGGAGAAAGAGTTGATCCAATGCATTATAAGAAACCAAAGTGGGAATGCTTGGAATTCAGCAAGCACAGCTATGAAGGACCATGTTTGTAACATGTGACCATTGTCCCTATGCCATGTGCATTTATTGACTTCCTTTTACACCTTCATTCACATCACAATTTCATAACAACAGGAATATATATATGTATGATAATGTTGTTGGATTCAGGATTTACCTTTGAATCAAAAACTCAAAAACTACAATTAATAGTTCAATCTTTTTTACTCAAGAGTCTAGCAGGCAAAATATTACTCTAATTAATGTTCATGGTTCATCTTATTCTAGAAAACATATTTAGTTGTTTTTTAACGTTTTAGATTTGAAAAATAAACTAATTATTGTTTCCTCAAACATGGGATTCTTTTTCTTTCTTTCACTGGATCTCCAATTGCATAATTTTTAATGCTCCATGCATTAAGAAATGTGATGCATGCATGTTGTCCTTTCTTTGGTTTTTCCTTAACAAAAACTTATTTTACAGTGCAAAAGAAAAACACGTGTTTAAAAGGAAAAATAAAAATACATAATGGAGTGTAGATTTTTCTAGTTCAAGATTTATAATTATGTGTTAAGTATTTTTTTCTTATATTTAAAAATAGATTATTAGCTCTTTCAACTTATAAAACCATAATTTTATTTTTTTAATACTTAAATTTAAGTTACTGACGACTTTTTAATTTAATAGAGTTGATAAAAGGATTAAATAAGATTTTTTTCTCTGTACCTAAATTTAATATTTAATATTTTTTTATATTATTATAAAACTAATAAAATAATTAAATTCTCATATTTTTAAATGTTGAGGGCTAATTAATTAATTTTTTAATTGTAAAAACTAAAAGTGGCAAAAATATATATAATAAAAAGTTAATTATTTTCTAAAAAAAAATTTACAAAATTATTTAAATTTGTAGGAAATTTATTTCTTGTAATTTTTATAAAAATTTTGTAAAAATATTCTTATAAAATATAAAAATTTCTAGTATTGATATATAGGGATAATTTGAAGGGTCAAACAATATCTCTTCTAAAATTAATATGCATTAAATTGATATTTAAAAGAGACAATAATTTATATTTAATATTTAATAAATATATATTTAGTTTTCATAATTATTATATTATTTTTGAATTAACAATTCTTATATAAATCACATTCCATACATACATATATATATATATATATATATATATATATATATATATAATTTTTTTTAAATATTAAAAATAGTAAAATTTTCTGAAAATACCAATTTTAAAGTTATTGTAATTTTTATTTAATCCTTATTTTAATAATCTTAAATGTGGTGAAACATTTTTAATCTTATGTTATACTCACATTAACAAGTGGGTCAATAGTTAAATAGTGGCATGATACCAACTTATTAAACTAGTCTGATTGAAAAAAAAAAAATCACAACTAATTCATAGCATGTTTGTTTTAACGTTAGAAGTACTCAAATGAACGTTGACTTCAAAAACAACTCAGTAATTGTTCACATTTAATTGTTTTGGAACATAAACTAACAACAAATCTAAACATGTTGGATAATTTCTTAAGGATAGTAATCTTGTTTTCGTATTGCCAAAGTCAAACCTAGACAACCTTATTCTCGCTGTAACAAAATAATTTAATTATCCTTTTAATATTACAACTAAATTGATTTTTATGTTTAATAAAATTATGAATAATTAACCTGAAAATTAAATAAACTTATAAATAATTAAAAATAATAGGACTAAATTATTTCTCCCTCCTTTTTCCATGAAAACAATTTCGTAAAAAACTTATCTAAAAAAATTCTTGAAATATAATTTTCTAGTATTATTTTTTTAAAACACAAACAGAAACTAAAAATTTCAGTTGTAACTAACGTATCCAAAAGTTAAATGATTCCTTTTATCTTTAATATTCCCAACTGACGCTGGATTTTTTATTTTTCTCCTCCTTTTTCATGGCCCACAACATGATCATTTCATATTCTGGGCCAGGTGGGCCAAGTATGACTCAAGCCCGCATTTTCCTTATCTTATTACAGAGAGGAACTTACTATTCACACCCCATCCTTTATAATGTGAATAAAGTTAGGTTAGAAACGTAACATTTTACATAAGCATGGCAAGACAGTGACAAAGCCATGCCAAATTATTCTATCCATATCTGTCATCAATAATTGCAGAATAACCATTTTTTTCTTCATAATATTACTGTCAATATTATATTCAAAATATTTTTGTTATTGGTTTCGTTAGAAAAAAAAAGAAAACTTCAATTATAATTTTAGTTCTTATAGAAAATCTGCAGTTTTAGTTTTTTTTTTCACCACAATAACTTTAATTCTTTGCTTTTTTTAATTATTCGTAATTTTGCTATATAAATTCTTTACGGATTTTGATCTCTTGATTTTTCTCAATTATATACAATGCTGTTTAATGTTATGAATAACTAAAATTTAATTAAACAAAATGCAGAAATTATTAAAAAATGACCATGCATAGTAGCCCTTCACATTAACACCTTCCCTGCAAAAGGAAAGGAAAAACATAATTACCACCATAACAAATTCAATATCAACAGAATATCTTAACTTGTGGTTAAAGTCTCACTTGATCGCTTGAAGAAGAAAATGAAGGTGCCCAATGAGGTATCTAATTCTGATACCATCCTTGCAGGCTTCATCCACTGCTATTGAATCATTCCTTGCTTTAGCAACACCTAAAACAATTAAGAACCACCTATTATTAATTTCTGATTAATCTATCCATTAATTACTTTCTGTTAAGTTAGTGGTTCATAAAACAAATTTCACATCACTTATTGCATCACCTCTCATGGACAAGAAGAACATAATTTTGTTTTGCACCTAAACCCTAAATATATAAGATCAGTACAGACCAGAATTAGGTTCTCGCATAAGGAATTAAAAGGGTGATTAGAAATTATGATAGGATCATATATATACCATTTTCAGTGATGTAAATGTTTGGATTCTTGTAATGATCCCTTATGTATACCAGAAGATAATAAATTCTCTTCGGACATATAAAGAGCCAATCCAAATCAGTCTGCACAAGTAAAATTTCGTTGCATCAGTAGCTCAAATTTATGTTGTTCACAGCTATTGCATGATGGTTTTCTTCACTTAGTAAAACTATTGTAGCCAAAATATTCAAAGATTTTAACTCATTCAAATTGACTGTAAAAACATGTCTGAACTGAATCCTTAGAAACCTTTTATTTGGTTAATTCGCCCTTTATCCTATGGATTCTTGTGGGTACATTATTTAACATGAAAAAGGAATGTCACTCTGCAACATATTTCACTCAGTTAATTATACAAAATTCTACAAAGTGCTCATGTCATTCCAATACTCTGTTTAATACATAAATACTCATTTTTGTTTGTTTTTTGTCTAACATTTATCCAGTAATATATGTATAACTGGTCAGACAAAGAAGTGATCAAGTGACCAATTAAATATTACTCTTTCAAAATTATAAGAGTTAGTCAACAAACAGAGAAAAAAAAACATTTTAACCAGTATTTTTTTTAAAGTAAATTTATTTAATATTTTAATTTAAAACATGTTTAAGATAAATAAATAAAAAATACATTGTAAAATGTGTCCACAACACAAGTGGTGTTGCTTCTTTAGCACTATGACCTTGTAGCGATGATAAAAACCAGCTCCTACATTACCAGTGCCATGATCCAAAAGTTTTTCTGTTCACACCACCAGCAAAAATCAAATTATGAAAGGAAACTATTCTCGGGTAACCATGGTAACGCAACTACAGATAACATTTATACTCATCTACACTCTACATTTTTATGAAAGCATAATTAATTCTTTAATATTCTACTTAATTAGGTTTATTTTATTTACAATGTGAGTTAATTTTTATTTATAAATCGGCAAAATAATATAAATATTATTATATATATATATATATATATATATATATATATATATATATATATATATTATTCTTTCTTAATTCATATGTATCTTTCAAAACAAAACTGTGATAGATGATATTTTCGAAATGGATATAAAAATTCATCCAAATATTATTATAGCAGGAGCCGATAATAAAATCTCACATCATAAATATGTAACACTCAAAAGATATTATTATAGACAAGAAATAAAGTCTCATTTCACTCATCCCTTGATCGAAAACTTATGTTCCTGTTCGCTAACTTTGATGGACAAAGTGCACAATATCTCATCCTTTCTAGACTGAACAAATATTATAATATATAGGATTATGCTATGATATAAAATATGTGAATATTATAATATAATAGGGTTATGATATGATATAAAACATGTGAGTGTAAATTACAAGACTTTTGTAAACTAATAAAAATATTTAAGTTATATAAAAACAAACATATATAACAAAAATGACAATACATATTTAACAAATAGTTGTATGCAAATTAATGAAAGGATATATGTATCAGGTGATATATATATATACCGAATCGAAGTGTTTAACAATATAACAAAGAAAGTAGCGAAAGTTACGTATCTTTTTCTTCAGTTACCCCATGCATGCAGTTGTCAACAAGATTGCATTCATTCATTAGCGTCTTTCACGTAAACTCATTTCTGTATTAATATAGAAACTCTTATTTATATATATATATATATATATATATATATATATATATATATATATATATACACACACGAATATGTGTGTGTATGCAGAGGGAGACAAATTAAAAAGAAAGAGGGTAACCCTACCCAGAATGCTGTTGACTAAAGGTATCCCAAATACTTGGTCCTCTTCCATCAACATTTGTTGCTCCTTCTGCCTGAGTAATTAACAAAACAACATAATGAACATTCAATTAGTTCATAGAACACGGACTTTAAAGTGTGTAGGAATAGTCATAAATTGAAGGGTTATACAGTTATGAGTAGAAGTACCTGGTAAGCAGAAGAACATCCTCCGAAGATAAAAGTGGAAGGAAAAAGGGACCTGCTGAATGTTGAAGCATAGTGGCTTGGCTTCACACTCGCACTGCCACTAGCCAAAAGGGTAGCAACAGCAAGAAGAGATAGAACACAGAGGAGACAAGGAGTATTAGTTCTCAGTTTTGGCTTTCTATTTCCAAAACCCTACTGCCTTCTATTTATTGAACTCTCGTTCCAAACTGTTCTATCTAGCCAGAGTATATCCCACCTCGGTATCTATTCTAATAATCTATTATAATAATATTATTAAAATAAATTCTCATGTTAATTATACTGTTTCATTTAGAACTCTCATTCATTATACTTTATCTTTAAAATGTAGATTAAGAAAAAAAATTATATAAATTATGTTAATTTCAACTCTTAAATAAAATCAAACTCTTTAAAAGAAAAACAATTAAGTATAAAATAAAACAAACCATTAAGATAAAGTAAAATTTATATCTAGAATATTATAAATAATCTTTTCATATACTATCACACTCTTCTATCCTCTGTCCGATTATATGTTATTTAAATTATTAAAACATAGTATTTCTTTAAATTTAGAAACTTAATCAATACACAACAAGACGTGTCAGTAAATAAATAAAGAGATAGAAGTAATATATATTGAAACATACATCACTATTGTCAATCAAAACATATTATTAACATATGTCATACATATAAAAACGAATATTTAATCTAACTTCAATAAAAATTTTATTTTTAATATTAACTTTATTTACTTACATTATTTCTGACTCAAACCCTTCTCCCACAGATAAAGTTAACAATATCTTAATATTTTCCCTTAACATCTTCATAACTTCTGCAACATTTTTTTCCCTTAACTTTCAAAGTTCTTATAAGTCAATAAAGAAACTAACTTCCAACTACCCAATTCTTTTGCTATTTCTTGACCTTAATTTCAATAGAGTAATTAATAAGATTTTTTTTAACAAAAGTTTACAAAATTTATAAATCTATAATGGTTTCATTTAATGGAGAACAAACTGTTAATCCTCTATCTATTTATAAGTTTCTCGACCTCATTTCCAATTGAAAGAGAGTTTAAAAAATTAAAAAATAATAAATTTTGGTTAATAAAAAATAACTAATCCTTTTTTTATAAAATTTTAAATACAACTAAAGATAATATATATATATATATATATATATATATATATATATATATATATATATATATATATATGTGTATCCTTGTGCATTTTAAATACTTTGCTACAAATGAATGTTTTAATCTTCGGGATGAAAATTTAAAATTAAAATATGTAGTTGAAGAAAAATATAAATAAATAGACCAAAAAAACCAATATAACTAAAAATTTTCGTGTACAACAACATTACTTATACAATTCACGTATCTTCTTCTCTTCCCCACAATGAAACATCCACATCATTCACATGCATTTGTCAACTATCATTGAAAATCATTGAACTCATGTTAAAGGTTTAATATATCATCCAACTGGAATTCATAAAATAATAATAAAATTATATGATTTACAAATAATATTAATTAAATATTAAATATTATAATTTTATAACTCTGAAAAGATTACCATTTTTCAAATTCTTAACATATATCTAAAATCCAAATGAAATATATCATAATACAAATTTAATTTTGATAAATTATAGCAATATTAATTAAATAAGTTTACCATTACTATAAAAATATACTTATTCTTGACTGGTTTACATGAATCATGAAATTTTTTTATTTTTTCAATTTATCATAATTTATTAACTATGATAAGAGCTAAATTTATCAAAACACATTAGTTAGTCTACTTTATAGACTTCTCATAAATAAAACACAAGAAGAAGAGAAGAAGAAAGATAGTTACAAACAAAACAATATGATGGTATACTCCAAAATCTATTTAAAATTATCATTATATTAGAAAAAATAAATAAGAAATGACCAAAAAGAAAAAGAATGATTTCCTAAATTAAAAAGAAATGATGAAAGTATGGCAAGAAATAAATATTAAAATTTTCAAAAAATATTAAAATGAAAAAAATAATATATAAATGCAAACTATCTATATGATAAAGGTTAGAAATTCTTGATCCTTAGTCATGATCGAATTCCTCATCATAGGAATTTGTATCTCTAAAGATTCAATCTTTAAAGGAACAAGTATAGGTGTGGAACACATTCACTCAGATAATGTGAGAAGTCTATCAAAGTTGCAGTTGTTTAAGTCAAAGGTTATAAAATGAAAATTTGATGTACCAAGAAGAAGTAAAGTTTTTTTTTTTATCTAGTATTAATTGAAGTTGAGGTAACCAAGGATTTAGGGTTTTATGTTACTGTGTCCAAGTAATTCTTGTTGTTGTGATCTCAATTATCTTTCTGCCAAGTATCCATTTTTAAAGTAATTAAAGAATATTTAGTTTAAATATAATATTTTTTTAAAATTTAAAATAATACATTGTAATGTAAAAATAGAATAATTGTAATATTTTAAAAATAAATGAAATATTTGTATAGAATTTTAATAAAACTGAAGAATAACTTAAGAAAGTGCAATTATAATTTTTTCAAATTATTATAATAAATTTAATGTTTTTCTTTGGCTTAATTATATTTTATTAACCAACTAAAAAAATTTAACAATATAATCCTTTCTAAAGCTAACCTTTTAATTTTTAGAAACACTACATCATTCTTATTTTAAAATCGACCATAGTTAATTTTATAAATTGTTTTTATATTATAAACTATATCATACTAAAATTAAGATTGTCAATCTTTATTTATTAAGATCATAAAAAATATTACAAATTAAATAAAAATGTTATTATAGTTTAAAAATTATCCTATTGATATTTATGTTAGTCACTAAAAAAAAAGGAAGAGTTAGTTATGAATAAATATGAATATTTTATTATGGATTTCTTATTTAAATAATTTTCTTTTCATTTTATATAAATAATTTTTTTATTTTAAACAACTTTCTCTAATTTTAAACAACTTAAACGTAAGACTCAGGTTGATAATTCAAGTGTATTTGAAGTCTCACGTTAGATAGAAATGAAAAAATTTTAATTAACTTATAAGTGAGAAATACTCATAATTTAATCTCTTAAAGTTTGATTTGAAAGTAGTATCATATTCTCTTATATGATTAACTCAAGTTTCATTTGTGATAATCTCTTTATTGTTAGTCTCCTCGAAAAGATTTAACTCTAGTATCAGAGCTGATGGTTCGTGTGGTATTATATATGATTAAGAGTAGATTATTATGGATCCTTGTGTTGAAAATATTTCTTCTCGATGATTCGTGTCGAAAGTTTATATTATAGATCTTTGTGTTGAAAGTCTTCATGACAAGGGTTTCAATTAAGCGACGAGTCCCATTAAGTATATTTAGATAAGCGACAAGTCTTGTTGAGTATATCAATATAAAAGTCTCATGTTAAATAAATAAAAAAAATTATATTCTCTTATATAATTAACTCGAGACTCATTTTCTAAGAATCTTAATAATCTTATTATTATTATTATCGTTAAAAAAACCCTCCAATCCAAAATAAAATATTTATTTTTATTTCTATTGAACTCTTATTATCACGGGAGATATTCTGGTAACGGAGACCACCTTACTTGGCTGTAAAGTATCAAAACCCTACCACTGCCAAATAATGACAAACAAAGTCAAATCTTTGGTACATTTATGTGATAAAGAAATGGGAATGATTGTAGTTGAGCATTCATTATTGCAGCAAGGGCTATCACTATTCTTCTCCTACTTTCAATTGTAAGGAAAAGCTTACAGCCACGTTAATGGTGTCTGCATAGACCAAGGCATAATGATGGCAACAGGAAGATAACTAGATAAATAACTATTATAACTACCTTTTACCCTCTCTTTTTTTCTTTTTTTCTACATATTTCTGCTGTACTATGCTTCGCGCTCCTAATCCAATTTATTAGGTTAGATTGATTCATAGTCCACACCTTATTAGAAAGACTCAAAAGATTATTTCCATAAAAAAATAAAAAAATACCCATATCTTTTATTTATTTCAACCGCGTCATTTAATTTTAAAATATTAGGACAACGATTATTATTATAACCTAAATTAAGTATAGTAGGAAGATGATAAGGATATATATGTTGGTAAATTTTGGGTCATGTATATATATGATACATATTTAAATGTGTTAGGGTCATTATTTATTAAGCCAAATAATAAAGTGATCTGACTAAATTAAAGTTTTGGCTAAAAGCATATGTCATGAAAATAAAATTGTGTAGAGACCATAGAAGCAATTTCTAATTTGATGAGGGCCAAATTGGAAATACTAAAACTTAAGTAATTAACCTAATTTTGGTTATCTAAAGGGTCATGGTCCCCTTCGAGAAGCACATGACATGAACGTAGTTACAGTCCGTTCCTTTCTTTCTATCCCCATCAAGAGAGAAAATCAAGAGGGAAATACAAGTGCTTCTTCAGGTGGAAGACCATAAGATCAATATAGTGTTCTACAAAGACATCATCGTTATGGCTAATTCAGGTACGCTTTCGCATTCAGTTTACAGCATGTTTATCAGTATGAGATTATGTTTATGTTTGATTGTTAGAATCAAAATCAGGATTATTATTATTATTGTTATTGTTTTTCCAAAAATATAAACTTAAAATTTGAGAGACAAGATAACTATTATTTTTTACTGGGAATTGGAAGAGAGTGAAAGAGAAATGAGATTTCACTTTCCTCTCTTTTTATTATAATAATTTAATATTTAAGACATGATATAGTACTACTTTAAAAATGTTTTTTTTTATGATTATTGTTTTAAGTTTTACTATCGGTACAATCGTAAATTACATAAAAAATTGATACTTTCTTCATTTCAACTTAAATACATTTTTTTATATTAATTAAATTTTAATTTATATAAAAGGTTAGTTTCAAAATTTTCATTATTTATTTTTAGGGACTATACTTTTTTTTTGGTTTGACACTTTCACGTAGTTGTAAATACTAAAATGATATTAT